GTTATCAGCTGTAGGTTATCCAAAAAATCCTCAAATTCTTTTGAACTCCCAGTAAAAACACCGGTACAGTAGTTCTCAACTACGTTGACTTCCTTTAGATTTTCTTTTAGGTAAGCGATTTCTTCGTTAAGTAATGGTTTTGACTGATCACAACCGAGGAAATTGTTGTCGTCTGACATCGTCGCATTACACCAAGGAGTATTTATTTCGCAACTACATTTTCCCGCGAAAGCAGATTACTATCTCACTAATTACATCAAGTGTATACAAAGGAATGCATTTTGAACGGCACTAATCGTTCACAATTTTCGAGTTTTATAAAGATGAAACTGTTTGATTTTATTTTTTACTGAAGTCACCTGAAAAAATCAAATAAAAACGTACGAGAAAGAATAAATAACTAAGTCACTTTATTCTAATCCACTGTCACGGAATTATTGTGTTACTACCTTATCTGTCATGTCAAGACCGGAAGTCATTGTCACTCTAGATTCCAGTCTCTGCTCAAAAATTTTGTGTACCATCTCCGCCCGCGTTATAGTCAGACCCCAAAATGGCGGCAGGTGAAAACAGAATTTACTCGTGAGACAAAAATAACTAAAAACAGAGTATCTCCAAACGCTAAGCCAGCTCAACATGGACTGATGAACTTCTTACTAGAATGAGTACTGGGCAGGCGATATGGTCTTGCAATATTGCTTGTCTAAGCCCATTTTACATGACAAATTTTGGAGTTTGGTTGTACTCGGAGTTGTCTTGGCTATCCTGGAATGACAGCAGTCAATGGTGAGGTACCAGCTTCGGTTGCTACGAACCTGACAGACACACAAATTGTGCTGCCAGACAAGTTATCTAGTATTAAAAAGGCTGAAACATTTTCGTCATTGAAGCTAAAATGGAACTCAAGCGAGGTAAGTTCAACTAGGAGCAGATTTCTTAAACGCGCGCGTGTTGAACGTATAAAAACGTACGCTTGTTCGTTGACTATTTGCTCTTGGCTCATCCACTTTGACAGCAAAAATAGTGATAAGAAAGCCACAATAAGCCACTACACTCATTTTACAAGTGTTTTTACTGTAAATGTTTTGAGCTGTCGGGCTTAAAGAATAAAAGATTTGCTCAGGACTATTCACACTTTGAGGACAACAAACTTGTCATCACTGGCAACCTTTAAATTTGTATACAATAAACTACGATTTTACCTATTTAGCTAAAGTCAATCCTCTTAAAAACTTAAAATCACTACTATTTAATTCCTAATATCGTGACTTTAACTGTGTTTTCCTGTCGAAGATCTTATTCTGACTTCAAATTTAGGCTGAGAATATTAGTGGATGAAAGAAATTAAATGAAAAATGACTTCCATTAAATTTTAGTGAGGGCTGCACCTGCTTAAACCGAAAAAAAATAGAAACTTTTGAATTTGTGCAGCAACAATCATTTTATTTTCGTTATTTTTAATTTCCCACACAGGGGAATTAATTTCTAGCTTTTTTCTGTCATTTCTCTTGGCTTTCGTCCAATGTAATTGCTGGAAATTATAATGCTGTCACTGTAATGCTAATGATAGTATTTTGTGAAAGTAATTTGAAATTCTTCTGGTTTTCATGTTAATAATTAAGGGTTTTACAACCAGAAAAGTGACAAGGCTTTGCATTAATAAAAAGTTTTCTTGACATCAACAAGAACTGAGAATAATTATTGTCAAAATATAAACCAAATTGGCATGGATTGATAGGGATTTGAATTGTATTTCCATTTCCTAGTAATGTTATGGCTTTCCTTCTTACATGTTTTGTATGATGTGTCAAATCCTTTATGACCAGAATCACACATCTATGGATATTTGCATTTGCTTTCGTTGTAAGAAAGAAAATTAAGCTTTTTTCCTAACAATTTGAATTAGCATTGTAGTTTTTTTTTGCTGTATAACTGTACCAAAAATCATTTCAAATTTTTTTAACAACTAACTTTTGAGCGATAATATGATAATTGTATTTTTTTGACAAATTAACATTTTCAAGAGACATTCATTATACCGTCTAAAGAGAACAGTGGGCGATGAGAAGTATATTTTCCATGATTGCAAATTTACTAATTTTGGAACACAATTTAAATTTTAATTCTTCTAAAGAACGTGATATAATTTATACTTTATGTATTGTCAGTATGAACTTTGTGATATTATATATTTTTAATGTGTGCGAAGTAGTGCAAAACATTATCAATATTATTACATACATATATGCCCACCCACAAAAAAATTCCTTATAATTAAAGCAATCACTCAGATATATACATATACCTAAACTAATGAAACATAAAAACAACCTAAGAAGCTCTCAGCTTATTGGCTAATACAGTTGTCTATTATTTCAGGAGGTTTCATTAAAGTTCTCTCACCAAATTTAACTCAAAACATCCTAAGAAGCTGTGGGTTGATTGGCTAATACAGTTGTCTATTGTTTTATATTGCAGGAGGTTTTGTCTATTCTTATAAGTTTTGAAAAGCATGAATCATGGTTCTCTCAAAAAGTCCCAAAAAGGTAAGTATTATTGTTTGCTTAACGATGGAGTTGATTAGAAAAACCCTTTTCATAAAAAAACATAGATATGGGACTAGCTTGACACAAACTTGTCAAAATCTTCCAGCTTTTTGATTGGAATCTGACCCTAATCTGGTTCCTCATCTTCATCTGTGGTTACTCAGGAGGAAACTTGTTTGTGATATTAAATACAATCCATGTTTTTTAACATTTTAAAAAATTTATAAGCATTTTTGATGCATATTCATGATCTGTTTTCTTAAACTCATGGCTTCATCTACTTGAAATACCAAAAAATAAACACTCCCGATTCTAAAATATAAATTAGAAACAGAAGTTCAATAACATGTAAAATTCCTTAATTAATATTATGAACTAAATGGCAATGTCACTGTCTTCATGAAGTTTTCTTTTATTTCTCATTTATTCCAAGTTGATATTTCTTTGATACATTTGTATTAAATAGATGATCCACATTTTATACCAAAAGATTTAAGTTTCCCTTGTGCTAATACTTTTAAAAAGAACCACATCAAACTGGTATATTTGAAATGCAAGATAAAGTTCACTTTACTGTAGTCTAACAAGGATAAGTATGAGCTACAAGAATACAATAGACCCCAAGTTGTTGTACAGCATTTTTTGCTGTTTAAGTTTCAGTGCTACTTGCTTTTCATGACCTGTTGTCTTAGTATATTTTTAGTGATTATTGATAATATTTTGGAATTTATGGTAATTTATGATAATTTCAGACCTCCAAATGGTTCCATGTTACTTTTTAATCGTCAAAACATCAAGGTATGATTATAATCTTTTTTGTTTTGTTTTAATAAATGCCAAAAAAATCTCTTTTATCTTTTTTTGTCTATACTCTATTTTTCTAAATTTCAGGGCAGTGTTATTGAAACTAGTTGGTATATATGTTATTCAGTTATCACTCTTTTGTATCAGGATTATCGTAAAGATGGCTACAGCTGGAAGAAGAGAACAAGTTCAAGTTCATACATAAGAGAAGATCACTGCAAATTGAAGGTTGCTGGCGTCAATGTAAGTGCCGATCATTGATAATAATCAAATGTAAACAAAAAGATTGCAACAAGCACTGCTGCTGTTGTTAAGTCGATAGCTTTCACACCTTTTTAAGCAAAAATAATTTGGGAAAGGATTTGCAAAGATTTGACAATGTACATTGTTAATTTTAATACAGAAAAATGTTTTCTTCCTTGTTTGTTTTTTTTTCTAAGTTAATTTTTATTTTTTCATTCATTCATCTATTCATTTTTCTGTTCATTTATTCGTTTTTTGTCTAGTTATTCATCCATTGTTTTGATCATCCATTAATCTTTTTATCTGAATATATCAACCTGAATATCTTATATATCACACAAGTACCCTCTACTATTTCAAATACATGACACTGATATATACTATATTGTACATGAGGTATATTATAATACAATATATATGACAGGTTTTACTTAATATTGATAGATAACTTACTAATAGAATTATGTTCCTACTAATCACATTGTGTGTGGCATCTTTTGATATGATTGATGTAGACTTCATGTCAACATGTGTTAATGTCTAATAAAAAGCAAAGTTTTAGTCATATTTCATTTTCTTGCCTGTGCAAGGGTCCATTATTATATGTGTTTTTTTTTTCTTTTCACTTCCCTCTTCCCATTCCTCAATTTTTTCCCACTTCTTTGATTTTTTTTCTCTTCGTTTTCCCTTAAATCCTTCTTTCTTTAATTCAATTTATTTGCTCATTCTTTTCTTCTGCTCTCCTATCTTCTTTCTTTCAATTTCCCTTCCTTTTATTTCTTCTTTATCTCTTTCATCCCTAGTTCATCTAGCCCCTTTTCTAATTTAAATCTCTGGGAGGTCCAATTTTCACTCATCCAAGATAAACACTATAAAATCTTAATCCAATTTGTTTTGATCCCATTATCTTCCTAACCAGGAGGGACAATCCCATAAAATCATAAAACTTTTATTGAATTTGGTTTGATTTCTAATTCGTGAAGTGAAATATTGTGTTCTTAACAAAAATCTCTCTATAAATGTGTTGTACAGTGTGTTGAATAGCAAGGAAAAACATAAAAAATTATATTCATACAATGCATCTTACTTTGGTTTAATCTTATTATCTTTTTTGTGTCTTATTCTCCTGCTCTGATTTTGTTTAATGGATTAAGTTTTCACGTTGTTTGAAGTAGTTTTGTTGTTGTTTGTTTCAGTGTCTAAATGTGGTCTACACTCATTCAGCCATTGTACCAACTTTTCATCGGCGCATTTACTGGCTTTTACAGGTATCAAGAAATAGCATGAATTCTTTATAATATAAATAACATAAAAATGAAATTATGATATAAGGAGGATTGGTTTTCACTTGTTTTTTCTGCAGAATCCAGATATCGTACTAGTTCATTATTTAAATCTCATTGATGATTTGCAAGAGGAACATATTCACATCTGTGACAAACAGAAAGTGAATATTTTATGCCAGATTAATTCAATTTGTAAGTATCTGTTTCTCTTCCTTGTTTTACGATTATTTTGCTTTTATTTTTGTCTTTTACTTGTTTTCACTCTTTTTCAGTTGCTTTTTCCCCCTCTTGTTTATAATCCTTTGATCTGCTTTGATATTGTTAACAATATGAATATGAGGACCGCATGGAACTATGATAGAAACGATATAGAAATGAAAGAAAGTTATAGTGCTGGGTTCGAATCCCAGCGAGGTCTGAAATTAATTTTTCCGAATTTATTCCTAAGAGTCTTTCTCCCGGAATTGCCTCCTTCCAAGCATTATAACTTTCTTTCATTTCTATATCGTTTAATTGTTTATTACAAGATGTACATATAACAAGTGTATATCATTCATTCATTGCTTTTCTATTTTTACAGTTTCAGGAGTTGAGCCAAACTTAATTCCCAAATTTGAGGTAATCCATTAATCTCTGACTTCAAGACGATGCAGAATATTCTTAGTGTTTAGATGTCAAACCTTCTTAATATATTCTTTTATTTGATATTTTTTCTTTTCTCCTCAGGTAACTGAAGTTGAGGAAGAAGACCCAAGTTGTCAATCAACCAGCAGTTCATCCAAGAAAGCGCAGCATGAAAATAAGCAATTCAAAGTCACTATAACACCTGTAAATAATGATCATCTACCGACGACCATACCTAACGTAATCCAACAACGTGTTAACTCTCCTTATCAAGTGAACCTTTGGATGAGAAACAATGACCTTAGTAATGGTGTTAATACAACAGATTCAAGACCTCAGCCTTTACCTGGAAACAGTTTCCAGGGAAATACCATCCCTAGCAACAATCAACAAGGAAGTTTAACACATCAGAACGTTCACCATGGCAACAATTTTCAAGGCAACAGGTTTCCAGTCAGTAGTTTCCAGAACAACGTTTTACAGACTAGTGGGCTTCAGAGTAATGCCTTCCCAATCCAAGCGATGTCAAATTTGCAGGCAAGTAATGCGGCATTGCAGTCACTTGCAAATCAAGCAATCCAATCTACAGTCATATTCAGCCCAATATGTAACGTACCATTACCAAACCAATCCAGAAATTCACCAGTGAAGTCGAATGGGTTGATTACTCAAGGTATTGACCTCCCTACGTCAATGGTCCGTTTTCCTGGTACCGTTACGAGTTCCCTTAATGTCCCTATTAGATATATACAACCTGCGACAGTTATCGAGCCTAGTAAATTAACTTCATCTTCAGAGCCAGCAACTACGCAAAATGTCCTCACAACATCGAACGTTATCAGTCAGCCCCAGCCTGTCTATGCTAATTCTGTCGGTGTTGGGTCCCAGCCTCTTCTGTTCTTTAGCTCAGAGTCTATACCTGCAGTGGCGAGAGTGGCTTCGACGCTTAACGTAGCACCCAAAACGAACACTGTGGAATGTTCTGTAGCTAACACAACAATGGCAGAGAATGCAACAAATACGAGTGATGGAGTCAATGTAGCTTCAAGTAACAATTCCTTGTCCCTAGATTATCAATTTAGACCTGTGGAGTCGCCTCAGACAAGTAGTGCCAACGGGCCGATTGAGACATCCTTAAATGGTTCCTTAACTTCAGTGGAATCGCCCCATAGAAACGTGTCCCAGGGGCTGAGTGAACCATCTCATAGTAGTTCCCTTCAAAACAATGACGTCTTAACATCTTGCAGAAACGCTGTCATCAATAACGTCACATTGACGTCAGGTGCGCATTGGCATGACAACAGATCAGCCAGTCAACATGCAGAACAACTCAGTTCCAGTCCATCTAGTGATTATGGGAGCCTTTTGTCCGAGTCCGGGACTCGGTTTTCTGGGTCTGAGTCTATGTCTTCTGAACTCGGTAGTAATGGCTTCGATGGTCCTTTCCGACTTCCACTTCCTGTCACGCAAAACAGTCGTGTCACACAATTACAAGTTAATAGCATTTTATCAAGCAGTCATGGTACGTCACTTCCGGTAAATGAGAATGATGGTAACCATAGAGACACTAGCACTCCACTCGACTCAAATCATGTGGATATGACGTTCGACTTTGCTGAACTTCATTCGTTTGACGAACTTGATTACGACGGCTTGAATTTTGATTTGAATTCAGTCTTAGGAGATTATTTCAACAGCCCTGAGCCTACTCCCGTCACTTCAAAAGAAAGTTCTAGTAATACAACGCACACTGCGCTTAGCGAGACCTCGGTTTGTACCTTGAGTGAAAAACACGGCCAAAAAGGAATGGATATTGAAAGCGAGGCAAAAGCTGAAACTCAGTCACCTAGTCCCTCAAATCGTCATCAAGAAACACCAACATCTTCATCCCTGGCAATTCCTGACGATAACACTCCTAGCAACAGTTGCCGTACACCCGTCAATGATATTGTCATGGCGACGAGTCCTCAAGTCTTGAGTTCCCATGGTGATTACGTAAATACTGATCAACAAGAACTACCTTGTGATCAATCTTCCACACCGGAAGTAAGTATTATACAGGAAGTAAATACAGCAGCGGAAGTAAACACCATAACGGAAATAAACAATAATTCTACTTTACTACCGGCAGTTATGCCGGGATCGGCTTGCATCACCGACTTTTCACCGGAGTGGTCATACCCGGAGGGTGGAGTCAAGGTTTTAGTTACCGGGGAGTGGTCGTCTTCTGAGATGTCCTATACGTGTTTATTCGATGGTTGTAGTGTCGAGGCTATACTTGTACAGGTGGGTGTCCTACGATGCTACTGTCCATCACATGAACCAGGCCTAGTCACACTACAAGTAGCATGCAATGGATTCATTGTCAGTAACGCATGCGTATTCGAGTATCGGGCTCATGATTCCCCGGGAGATTTAAATACCCACCACGAGTGGTTAGCAATGGACGATGCACGTTTTAAACTTGCACTTCTTGACCGTTTGGAGAGATTAGAAAGTCGCCTCTCCGTACAAACTTCGGACTCTAATCGGACGTATTCGGAAACCCGACACCAACAGTGTCGTTCGTTTGAAGAGCGAATATTAATGACCTGTAGAGGTTTATTTGAGGCTAATACTTCAAGTACAGCTACTAATTTAAAAAGACCTTATCGAGGCATGACGTTAATCCATCTCGCTGCTGCATTGGGCTTCTCAAAACTTCTCCGAGAAATGGCGGTCAAGTGGCAAGACCCACGAACATCTGAACTGCTACGTCAGGAGTTAGATCCCAGCAGAAAGGACGAGTTCAACTGCACACCGCTAATGTGGGCATGCGCACTGGGTCAAAGAGCTGCAGTCGCTGAATTGTTGTGTTGTCATGCCAACTCATTACTTGTTCCAGATGCTTGCGGGCGTTTGCCTTTACAGCTGGCACGTGACCGGGGCTATTTCGAAGTAGTGGATTGTATTGAGGAGTTTGCGTTGTCTTCAGAGAGGTGAGTATTTCTACTGGTAAAGATTGTTGTACTTGTTTATTCATCTTAATAATGTCTCTATTTTTAGGCGTACCTTGTTAAACATGTGCTCGTCCGATGAAGACGAAGAAGAAACCCCTGAGAGTGTCCCTTCTCCTGCACATCTCGCTACTTCAAATACAGGACAACAAAACTCCCCATCCCTACCCCCTAATAGTCAGCCCATGTCAATAGAGACGAGCTATACAGACCGCGCATGCTCACCAATGCATGTAGAAGAAGTAAATAATGGTAGTGTGCTGTTAAACCAAGCTCTGGTACAAATCCATGAGATGATTAATGAGGCAGAGCGACAAGCGGACCTTGAAAGCCAAAGTCTTGCAGGTCGTCTTCCTTTGCAGCTTTCTCCCGTACAAGAGGAGAACGAAGTACTGCCCTCTCCTGGGGGATGGGGATCATCTGGTAGCCGTTTCAGGTCATTTAGTTCTGCATCGTCTCAAAGCTCTCCCCTCACCCCTTCGTCAAAGTCTTCTTTATCACCAGGGTCCCCTGCGTTCTTGAATTCGCCGCATTCATCGCCAGGTCTTCCACCAGATACCAAGGAGTTTCACGAATTCTTGTGCAGTTCTAAGAAATTGTTGGAAAAGAATTTTTCGGAATTGACGCTTACAGGTAAGACGTCCCGTCATATTACCTTGTATAAGGAAGTCATGTCACGATTGAATGCTTTAAAAATGTCATTTATAGATCGAGAACAACAAGAATTATATCAAGCAGCTCTTATCATCCAGGAGGCCTACAGGTCATACAAGGTACTTATTTTCATTTTCGTGTATAACGCACTAGCAAAACTAACTTAAAGCAGTACTCATGTTTGTACACTGCACGGCTGCTTGATGCGCCTTCAATAGCAGTTTGTCCAAGTCCCTCAGTAACTATGTAATCCAGATGTAAATCAGATCATTGGTATGCGAAATCTGTATTATTCCTTCATTTGTTTTCATTCATTCTGTGTTTCCCATCTAGATTCGTCGTCAACAACACGACCAAGAAATCCAAGCAGCCGTCTTAATACAGAATCATTATCGCCGGTATAAACAGGTATATACCGGTATTTAAGTCTTAAAAACAGGTTTTCTTTTATTAACGACTTCCATCCTTCTTAGTTTTTGCTGTACAAGAAAAGAACACACGCAGCGTTAATCATTCAGAACCAGTACCGCGCGTACAGGGAACATGAACAGTTTAAAAAGAGTCGACGAGCTGCAGCTATTATCCAAAATCAGTTCCGTATTTATCGACTAAGACGACAATCACAAAAAAGACGCGACGAGCATAAATCTAAGCAACAAGAAGCTAGATTCATGAGACAATCGTCAAACAGGTCAGTTACTACACGAAGAGAGCATGCGCGGTCAGTGTGTTTTACCATAACTGAGGATATCCCACATGGAGCACAAGGCTCTCTTTGAATCTACTACATCATACTTTAAACTTGACGTGAGTTCATGTGAATAAAATTCACTTAAGAAGGAACAAAAGAAAGACAAAAGCGCATGTGCAAGGGAAAATCAAGAGGGGATAATTTGACGCAACACCATCTCACCTGTATTATTGTGTATAATATCTTGGATGACTTTATTTCCACAGATCAAATACAAGCGTATAAAGCACCTCTTCTTCATGAGCTACCATGAGATTTGAGACTGAAGCACTGGGTTCCCTGTGTCATTTATCATATTTCTAAAGATTGTTATATAGTCGATCAATACAGAAACCACGAAGGTTGTATTATATTACATACGCAACTGTGTATTTTACAGTACTTTTATTATGCGGCATCATTTTAAACCACAAAATCGGCAACGGAAAGGTCATTATTGCACAACAGAGCATCATGGGAAATTTATTCTTTGTTTTTTATGTCCGCTTAACAAAAATCCCTGAAACGTATTTTTGCTTTTTATTTGTAAAAGTACAAGTAGTTGGGCCGTTTCTTTGAAGATAACCACAAAAACTGCTTTAGAAAGTACTTTAACGGACATGAAAAACGCGAGGACTGCATTTACTATGATTTCCTGTTTTAGAAAATAGCTTTGATTCGCATTCACTATTTCGAGATGTTGTACAGCATGTTTAAAAATAATTATGAAGCATTAACGAGTTACTCAAGCAATCATTCAAATATCACATTTTTAGTCGTTACTTGACTACGATGTGAAAGACTTTCGTGTCGGTTTCATTTTCCCAAAATACAGTCAACTCTCGCTATTACGGACACCCTCGAGTCCTTACTTTAGCGTTCGCAGTAGCGAGAGTAGTAACGAGAGCTACTTTCAGTCATTTCTTTGTATTTTTCGCCGGGGATTCGGTATCTTCTGTCCGCAATATCGGGGTGTCCGTTGTGGCGGGGTGTCCGTAAAGCGAGAGTTGACTGTAGTTGGACTTCTGTGGCATCACAGCTGACCAATGAGGACAGCAGACACTTGACATATAATTTTGAATGAGGCTCAAACTACAAAACAAGAAAAACGCATCAATTTTCTTCGACGTCGCGCATATCATATTGTACAAGTTACACGATAACAATTTATTATGGTACTTGGAGTAGTTTAAATGTAAAAGCAAGTTAATTCTTGATATGATAATATTGATAATTTATTTAATAGAACTATTTATTGCTTTAGTGAAATGTGGTGTGTAACCCAGTTCGCTTACAGAATAAAATAAAAATAGACATTGGTTAATCAAACAAAATATCATGTAAATTAATGAGTCAGACTATCAATTCGTCAATAATCAGCCCATCAATCTGTTGATATACCAGTTAATCTCTCAGCCTGTCAATCAGTTATCAACCCATCAATCAGTTTATCTGTCAATCAACCTATCCATCAGTCAGTGAGTCAGTCAATAAACAAACCGTAAGTCATTCTACCTGTCAATCAAATGGCCTATAAAAAAACAAACGATTAAATCAGTTGCACTAGTATGCATTTTTCATTCATTTTGTCAATGCAACTTCGGTTTTCAGTCCATAAATTGATCAATCAATCAGAGTAGGCAGGTGCCCCATTCTTTTAAAAGACTTGACATTAAAATACTCCTACTCCCACCCCCACCCCCACAATCAAACCTGAAGGATGGCTTGCTCTCAGCAATGTCGAATATCCTATTTGTAATGAGTCGAGCTGACAAGCCGTCATACAATCGTATAATCAAAGTATCACCTGATGTCAATCAACTCAAGTGACACGCATGCGCAAACAAGCTGGCTGCTCAAAACAAAAATGGCGACGAGCAATGACATTGCACAAGAAATAGCCCTAATATTTCGCTGAAAATTATAAAGAATCGGCCTATGAAGCGTCAAGAATACTATGACTTCTATTTAAGAAAGATATAAAAAAAATATTTCTTTAGATATCGTCACAAAAAAGGTAAGAAAATACGTTTTAGAAGTTCATGTTTGTCAGCTATCGTATGAAATTACAGAAGCGGTCTTTATTGGACTTGTATTTTTTTGTAATTCTTCTGTATTGTAGAAGAAATAAACGTTTGTTTGCGAATTCTGTTTCATTCTATAGTTGTTCAAATGTATTAGTATCGTTTTATTATAAACAATCGGAACATATTTCTTTTTGTATTCTATCATACATTAAGCTTTATTAAAGCTTATGTAACTTACTGAAAATTATAAAGGCATTCTGCTTAAAGAGAGGGGAAAGTCACACAATACACAGGTTATCAAAGTATACTCCTTATCATTGGTTCATAATATTTATTGATAATTATTGTCTTATAAATCAGCCTTCAATTAATTTTCAATTCAGAGTGTAATATAATGGGACAAAGGTATACCTTATTTTTTACCGCAAGAGAAGGAAGAGAAGAGGATTTGAAATGGGCTTTGACTGAAAGGAACATTTCTCCTGATCTACGCGACCCTGAAACCAAATACACTGCATTGCATGTTGCTGCATCCAAAGGCAGAGCCGAATGTGTTCGACTACTCATTGATGCAGGTAAAAACAGAAAAAACAAAGTTTCTTACTTATTTTGATTGTTTTTCTTTGTTTTGACTGAACTGTTTAACTTCAACAATTACATAGTATCTCGTTGGTAAAATGTTACTTTTTTTGATTGCTTTTGCTTTGTTTTGACTGAACTGTTTAACTTCAACAATTACATAGTATCTCATTGGTAAAATGTTACTTTTTTTGATTGTTTTTGCTTTGTTTTGACTGAACTGTTTAACTTCAACAATTACATAGTATCTCATTGGTAAAATGTTACTTTTTTTGATTGTTTTTGCTTTGTTTTGACTGAACTGTTTAACTTCAACAATTACATAGTATCTCATTGGTAAAATGTTACTTTTTTTGATTGTTTTTGCTTTGTTTTGACTGAACTGTTTAACTTCAACAATTACATAGTATCTCATTGGTAAAATGT